GTTGAGGCAGTTTGGTAAAGTTGGGATTTTACATCAATAATCATATCACATATTTGTTAAGTGCTTTATAATTTATATAAGACATTGAATTGAAATTTCATTTCATCATAGGAAAGCCACTATAGGCAACTTTTCCTATACTAAAAATTAAAGTACCTATATGGGAATAGGAAGGATTTCTGGTGGCATAGTGCCTAATATTTGACTGCTGACCAGAAGACTAGCAGTTCAAACCCACCAGCTGCTCCACAGAAGGAAAATGCGGCAATCTACTTCCATAAAGTTGACCACTTGGAAACTGAACAGGGGTCTCTATGAGTCAGAATCAACTGATGGCATGAATTTGGTTTTTCATATGAGAATATAATATATTCCATTGGGCAAATCTGCTGCAAAAGACATCTTTAAAGTGTTAAAAAGCAAAGATATTCAAAGGAATAGTAAGGTACACCTGATCCAAGCTATAGTATTTTCAGTTGCCTCATATAAGTGCAAAAGCTGGACAATGAATAAGAAAAATTAAAGAAGAATTGATGCATTTGAATTATGGAGTTGGTGAAGAATATTAAATATACCATGGACTACTAGAAAAATAAACAAATCTGTCTTGGATGAAATACAGCTGGAATGCTCCTTCTAAAAGCAAGGATGACAAGACTTTACCTCTTGTACTTTGGTCATGTTATCATGAGAGACAAGTCCCTGGAGAAAGATATCATGCTTGGTAAGGAGGATGGTCAGCCAAAAAGAGGGAGACCCTCGATGAGATGGCTTGACACAGTGGCTGCAATGATGGACTCAAGCGAAGCAATGACTGTGAAGATGTGCAGGATCAGGCAGTGTTTGTACAGTTTGAGTTGGAACTGACTAAATGGCATGTAGCAACAACAACTTATAAGAATAAAATTTCTGAGTTACTTCAATGTCAATTCCATAAACATCTAAAAACCACCATCATTCAAAAGGCAGGCCTTGTTTCTGGAAACACTTGACATATGAATAGATCACTGATGCTCTTACACACAGTTTTTAAACCAAGGTAACAACTCTCTAAGAGTAGACCAAGTATCTCAGAGAAATGTCAAACGTAGTCACATAATGCATTATAATTAAGAAAGAACCAGTTCAACCGCTTCAGCAAATCCATTATTTCAGTTAATCCTCAAAACAGCTCTGTGAGATAGATATTACCCTCATTTGCAGCTGAGAAAGAGAAGCATAGGGACCTTAAGAAATTTTCCCAAGTTCATAAAACTAGTAAACCAGAATTCAAGTTCAGCAAAAGCCTATGTTTTAATCATTGTTGTTGCTGTTGTTACTGGTTGCCATTGGACTGCCTCCAACTCATAGTATCCTTACTATATGCCAAAACATAATTCTTCCTCCAACATAATTGGCTTCCTGTATGAACCAAAAAATTTTAGAGTGGGAGAATCTTAGAAAATTATCTTTCCCAAACACTTCAGTTTCTAGATTCTGAAGCCCAGAAGACTGACTAACTATTGCAGGAGGCAAGACTAACTTAGGCCTCCTGACTTTGCATGTAGTCATTTGGCTGAGTATTATTTCTCTTGTTTATGTCAATTACGTGATTGTAGAAGATAAAGGAAATATCTGGATATAAATACTCATTCTTCTCTATAATTATCCCCTATATTCATATTTCATTTCAGAGGAAAACCACTCACTCTAGTAATTTAAAATTTTTGAAAATTTAAAACAAAAACAACCCACTATACCACCATCTCCCCTCCACAAAAAGAAACAAGGAGAAAACAGAAGAGACGAGAGAAAAGATAATCAAGGAAAACAACTTCTCCAGATTCTGTTTAACAAGTTGGGATGATATTCCCAGCTCCTCATCACTAAACCTCTTAGGTCAGACAGAACACATCAATTTATAGAACATGAAAAATGTTATTATACTGTTGAAAGGCAGAACTTGTAAATGCCATGGGAAAAGAAATCTAATTTATTTGGTTGAAAATATATAGTTTAATATTGTAGTAATGTGCTGTGCTTCCAAACAATTTCACTAACATACTGATTTCATCTTCTAGAATTTTCAACATGACTCATATACTTCAAATTTATAAAAGGCCAATGACTAGCAGGAACTCCAGATTTCTTTACTACATTAAAGTAGGTACTCTAAAACAGGTCGATTCTAAGTCCGAAGTTTTAAAAGAAATTTAAACACGGACTCATTTAAGGCATAGGTATAAACTATACTTATATTTTTGCATGTGTTATAAATTGAATTGTGTGCTCCCCCCAAAAAAATATGTGGTAGCATTCTAACCCCTACAGCTGTGGACCACCACTTGCCTATTTTGGAAGAAGTACAGCCAGAACACTTCTTAGAAGTAAGGATGGCAAGACTTTGCATTTCTTACTTTGGGTATGTTTAAAGTAGGGCCCATTCCCTGGAAAAGGACATCAAACTTGGTAGAGAGTCAGTGAAAAAGAGGAAGACCTTCAATGGGATAGACTGACACACTGGCTACAACAATGGGCTCCAGCAGAGCAACAACTGTGAGGAAGGTATAGGAAGAGGCAGCCTTTCATTCTGTTGCACACAGACTGCTGCTGTGAGTCGGAGCCAACTGGAGGGCACCTGACAACAACATACCTGTGGGTGCAATCTCCATTTGAAAACAAAGCTTTATCTAATTAATGAGGGTATCAGTGTAGGGTGTGTCTTAAAACCTAATCTCTTTTGAAATATAGTATATTTTTACTCAAATAATGTGCAAGTTTACCATTATCTGGAAACCATGTTATACATGCTGTATATATACGTGTGTTATTTATGTGGGTGCATTATATGCAAAAATACAGTAAAAATGGCAGTTTAGACACAGAGACAAGCCAGTAAGAATGCAGAGAAGATACATGTCATGAGATCTCCAAGGAACCCAGGACTGTTGGGTCTAGAGAAGCTGAGACAAGGATTTTCCCTAATCCCTAAGGTGAACGGAGAGACAGCCTTCTCCTAGTGCCTGTGTGCCCTGAATTTGGACTTCTAGCTTCCTAAATTGTGAGAGAATAAATTTCTGCTCTTCAAAGCCACTCACTAGTGGTATTTCTGTTATAGCAGCACAAAGAAGTTAAGACAGCATGCAAACTTTTAAAGAATTATTTATAATATTCATGTTGTGTCATGGTTGTTATTTGCCATCGAGTGGGCCCCAACTCATAGCGACCTCTCCTTGGGTTTCCGAGGCAGTATCACTACGGAAGTAGGAATGCCCATATTCATGGCAACCTAATATTTATAGAGAATAGTCTTGAAAGTATACACATATCTAAGAAAGGAAAATAAACTAACAGAGCATACAGTGAAAGTAAATGGCCAGATTAGGGTCAGAGTGACCCCTGGGAGAAATTAAAATAGCTCTAACTAATAGGCTTGGAATAAAAAACAATCCCAGGTATAATTAAAGCTATCAGTTTGGCTAGATACTAGAAGAGGTCTTTAGAACATTACATTTTCTTTTCGTACTTCAGAGAGAGTGTACCTGAGTGTGTGTATATGTTGGAGCTGGTGTTACAGATTGGGATAACAGAAGGAAATGGACACCTATAAAGGATAGGGAATTACAGGTCTCTACGAAGGAAATAAGGTGCCCATCCTATATAATTTATATCAATAAAGCACTGATGAAGAACAAAACCCAAACCAAATCCACTGTTATGGAGTCCATTCCAACTTATAATGACCCTTCAGGGCAGAGGAGAACTGCCCCTTAGGGTTTCCAAGGCTGAGAATCTTTACAAAAGCAGACTGCCTCATCCTTCTCCCATGGATCAGCCACTGGTAGACTTGAGCTGCTTACTTTTTGGTTAGTAGCCAAATGCTTTAACCACTATGCCACCAGAGATCCCTTGACGAAGAACTGAAGAAGCAAGTCAATAAAAGCTTTCTTTATCGGGGAATCACTTAACTATGTACCAAGTAACACTACTATTAAATAGTAAAAAAAAAAAAAAAAAAGAATGTATTTAAAACCATTTCAGAACATTTAATGTCTAAGAAAAAAAATCAGTGAAACTTTCCCTTCTTCTAAACCCAGATGTAATCCATAATCTCCTGTCCAGATAGCAGTGTGAGTTTAAGTGTTTTAATCAAATGAAAGCGTTACCAAGGAAGGTTGTGGAATGTCATTCACTGAAAGCTTTAAAAATAGCATAAATTTCCATCTGTCTGGGACCAGATGTCCTCTCAGTCCCTCCAGTGCTAAAATACCAAGGTTAAACCAGACACAGAAGAAGTTCAGTGAACATCCTTTAAGTGATTTTCTGACTGACTACAAGGACTTAATTGACGCTAGAGAAAAGAAGTGGGGATGCAGTGGGGGACCAGGGAAGCCAGGGATGCCCACTGCTCTGTCCGAGCGGCTCACCTCCTTTCTCACAGGGGTGCTGTGTGCAGCAGCAGCCTCGAACTGCTCCAAAGCCTCCTGTTGCTCCGCTTTGGGCTCCGGGTCAGGCCCTGGTGGCTGCACCCCAGCAAGCCCAGGTGGACCCGCAGCCTCCTGGGGCTCCGCCTCTTGGTCCTGCTTGGATTCCGAGTCTGAACCGGATTCAGTTGTCATGGTTGATTGTTCTGCAAGATGGAAAAGGGACAATCTAATCACTTGGTGCAACTACCTTTCCTGGAAATTAAAACTAGAATGGTAAGTGACAGGCTAAAGAAAATCACAATAAGAAAAATGGAGAAATGCTAAAAAGTCAAAACACAATCCTATCTCATATACCTAATAAAACCAAAAGCCCAAATCTGGTGCCATCAAGTCAACTCCAACTTATAGCAATGACCCAGAGGACAGGGTAGGACTACTCCATAGGATCTCCAAGGCTATAATCTTTTTTTTTTTTTTTTTCCTAAGTGGGGAAAGAAATCCCTTTAAATGAAAGTTTACAGAGCAAATTAGTTTCCCTTTCAACAGTTTGTACATAAAGCATTCTGTGACAATGGCTGTGTTTCCGACAATGTGTCCATACTCTCCCTATTTCCACTCTGGGTTCCCTGTTTCCTTTCCTTCCTCCTTGGGTTTTCCAGGTGGTATCACTACAAAAATAGATTGCCCAACCTTCCTTCTGAAGAGTGGCTGGTGAGTTTGAACCACCAGCCTCCGGGTTAGTAGTCAAATAGGCATTTGACTATTTGACTAAGGCACTATGCTACCAGGGCTCCCTGTGTTAGTTAGTTAGTCCTTCCCTCTCATCTATGCTTTTAGGCAAATGTTGTCCTTTTGATCTTGTACAATTGATTGTTCTAAGGAACAGATTCCTCTTGGGCATTAATGCTTATTTTATGGGCTATTGTTCGGCTGAAAGATGGTCTCTGGGAATGGCTTCAGCTCCAGGTCAGAAGTGTGTCTGAAGTGCGTAGTCTTAGGGTGTATCTCCAGTTTTTATCAGACCAACCAGTCTGGTCTTTTTTGTGGATCTGGTATTTTATTCTACATTTTTATCCTGATCTGTCTGGGACCTTCTGTTGTGATCCCAGAGTGGTTTATAGTGGTAGTTAGGCACTATCTAGTTCTGGCCAACGCTATAAACCTTTAAGGAAGCTGATTGTCACATCTTTCTACTCCAGAGTGCTTGTGGATTTGAATCACTGACCTTTCAGTGAGTAGTTAAGCACTTAAACTGCACCACTAGGGGTCCTAGTCATCTAATAGGTGACTTGTTAAATTTACCCAGTGAATCCCAGAAATTTACAACAACTGGTTCAAAATTTCACATTTAACCAGAGGTAAAAGTTGACTGGCAATCATCAAAAGTTTTATTCCTAATAGATTTTTACCACAGATGACAGTCAAATGACATTAAAGACATAACAATTAAATAACAGGTGCATTTAATTTCACCAAAATGAACTTGCTATATCATCTGGATATATACTTTAATGATGATATAATAATGGAAGAAGATATTCTTCCCTGAATTCCCTATGCCTTCAGTATCTCCCTACTCTGCCCCTCCCATCCCATGAAAATGTGGATTATCCCACGAAGAAATGCTTTTCCTCTTTTATTTCTCATGTCTATTATTCTCTTTTATACAAACAACCACAGCTACAATGGAGGCTTAAGTGCTGTGAAATCTGTCCTAGACTGGACAAGTACTTGCTACTAGATGGGAGGGAAGCTGGCCAGCACATCTCTCCTTCCTGCCAAGTTAATGCTCACATTCTCTTTCTAGCTTCCCCCTATATCTACTGAATGAAACACAAGCTTGACTGTGCCTTATCTCAAACCAGAGATTCTGAGATACAATAATTTGCTATTAAATTCTGGAAAAGAAAGAAAACAAGACTTTCTAAAATACAATCACCACACGGTAATAGCTTACTAGCAGATGCTTAAATATTTTGTGCCTCAATTTTACATCTGTCAAATGAGGAACTGAACATGATCATATTTGTGGTGGGTTGAACTATAAGCCCCAAAAAGATATGCTCAAGTCCTAATGCCGAGTACCTATGTTCATGACCTTACTTTGAAACAAGGTCTTTATAGATGTAATCAAGCTAAGGGTAATCATCGGGTAAGGGTGAGCCCTAAATCCAATGACCGGTATCTTAATCAGAAGGCCATATGGAGACACAGAGACACAATCATATGCAAGGCCATGTGAAGATAGAGACAGAAATTGGGGTGATGCAGCTACAAACTAAGTAATGCCAAGAATTGCTGGCAGCCATGAGAAGTTAGCAAAAGGCAAGGAAGAACTCATCCCTAAAGCCTTCAGAGAGAGAGAACAGGGCCCTGCTGACACCTTGATTTTGGACACTTAGCCTCCAGAATTGCTTGAAAATAAATTTTTATTGTTTTCAGTCACTCAGTTTATGGTAATTTGTTATTGCAGTCCTAGGAAACTAATACAGTATCTAGAGGACTTTTTATTTACTTCCTGTTCTTGTATCCCACCTTGTCCACAATACAAATGCTACTACGTTAAATATCCCCCCCCGGGGGGGGGGCGCAAGTAAGCAGAGAAATATTATGCCAGTGGTTGCTGTATCATTTTAAGTAATTTCTTATCTTAGGTACATAGGGTAAATATCTCAAAACCAAATCTCAATGCAAAGATAGGTCTCTCCTCATCCACAGCAAAGAAGAATGAAGAAAACCAAAGACACATGGAAACAATTAGTCCAAGGGACTACCAGACAATGTGATCCTCAGCCTATATGACCACGAGACCAGAACTAGATAAAGCACTGTCAACCACTCAGAAAGGTATCAGTGCAGGAGATTCTGGATAAAATGAGAGAACAATGTGGAACAAAACTCAAAATCATAAAAATAAAAATAAAAATAAAGACCAGGTTTACTGGTCTGATAGAGTTTGGTAAGCCCCTGGAGACTATGGCCCTTAGTTATCCTTCAGGTCTGGAACTGAACTCATTCCTGTGGCTTCCAGCTAAACAACAGACAGGCATATGGGTGAACATTTACATCAGGCAGATACACTCCTTGGAGCGATCAATAGTAGGAGAAGAGAAGGGGAGTGTTTGCACAGTTCATGGGGCAGGAGTGCACGGGAGGGAAGGGCACATGGGAAGAGGTAACTATGGGGAGGAAGTGAAAGGAATGGAAAAAATAAATATAAACCAAGTATCTTGGACTGTCATATAATTTCCCTTCCTAATTTTAACTTTATGGTAAAATATCGTGAGCAAAATAGTACAAAACTCTAAGTAAATTATATACCCACTGGCATGATGTAGAATTATGCAAAATAAAACTCAAAACTCTATAGTAAAAAACACCATTTAGTTCCTCATCCTCATTTCACATGTTGGAGTATGTCTAATTATTAGAAAACAAAACAAAACAAAAAAACCCTTTGCCATCACATCAATTCCTACTCACAGTGACTCCCGTTGGGTTCCTAAGGCTATAAATCTTTATGGAAGTAGATTGTCTCATCTTCCACCTGCAAAGCAGCTGGTGGGTTTGAACCGCCAACCTTCTGGTTAGCAGCCAAATGCCTTATCCACTACACCACCAGAGCTCTTTCAATAATTAGGAAAGGAACATTAAAAATACCAATCTGTTTTAAGACAAATGCTATTTCCATGCTTTCTATTTAGGGTTACTTTTTATGATCACCAGCTATTTTTTCCTGTTGAATAAAAGACTTAACAACATGGCATGTGCTCTGTTGCCCAAAACATATCAAAATATCAAGTCCAAACATAGAATAAGATAGAGAGCCAAATAAAACTAAAAACTCATTTTTTTCTTCTTATATTTTAGGTTTTCAAACAAATCTTGAAAGTAAATATTGCATTTTCTTTTGTACAGAGAGAAAACCGTATGGGGAGGAGGAAAGGTGATGGCATTGTGAAATACAGAGCTTACAACCAAATCTCATCTTATGGAAGGCAGAGGATTAGTTTTTAACAGCTAATTCAATTCACCAAACACTTGCTGAGTACCAAATATAAGCAAAGCCTAGCTCGGGGTTTAGAAACAAATTAATATGCTGTTACTCCATCCACATTCCCAAGAAGCTCACAGTCTGCAGGAGATGAACAAAACTACTACTACTACCTTCTAACAACTAACCTTCCAATTTTAGTGCTGGAACCCTTCCAACTAAGCCAACGAGCTACAGTCATGTGATTTGAGTCTGGGTCAATGAGATAATGGAAAGTACGTATTCATTCAATGTTCAGGTCTATTCATTCAATGTTCAGGTCATCTTCGTAAAGACAAAACCAACTGCCCTAGAGTTTTCCTTCCCACAAGCTGGAAAGTAACTATAACTAAAGTATGTTGCCTTAGACCCAGGCACGGAAACGCCACATTCAAGAGGATGTCACAGCTGCTCCCACAAGTCTAGGTCTCTGCATGACCTCATGGAGCAAGCACACCTGCTCTGGATTGTTACATGAAGAGATATAATCTTCTGTCTTATTTGAGCCTCAGTGTATTAGTCTACTGCATTGAAAACTCAAGGAGGGGTCGCTATGAGTCTGATTCAACTCAATGGCAGTAAGTTCGGTTTGGCTGGATATTAGTCTACACACTCCTTGGGTGGTACAAATGGTTAAAAAAAAAAAAAAAAAAAAACTCAGCTGCTAATGGAAATGATGGAGGTTTGAGACCACTCAGAGGTACCTCAGAAGAAAGAACTGGTGACCTACTTCTGAAAGATCAGCCACTGAAAACCCGAAGAAGCACAATTCTAGTTTGGTGCACATGGGGTCGCCAGGAATGAGAAATGACACTATAACAACTGGTATGTGTGTATGCATGTTAGGCTATGCCTATTCTATACCCATTCTACAGACTAAAATTCTGCCAAAACAGAGATCATGCTAGTGGTTCCTATCTTACAAAAACAAAGCAGCTCAAATCCCCCTCTAGCAACCACCCCATTTCTCTGCTTTCTACTCATAAATCAACTTTTTTTAAAAAAAGACCCTTAATATCTTTTGCTAGCTCATATCCTTTTTACTCTGCAATCACTCCACTATGGCCTGAAGAGCCAAAGCATCAGACTATCAACTTGCATCTCACCTGACTCACTAGCAGCCCAAATATAGGCGGTGAGACTTTTCCTTGTTAACATA